AAGGTACGAAGCGTAAATGTGTTTTAATATATTAAAGGTAATCACAAGTCTGATATTGCACTTATTAACGAAAACATGGTTTATATTTGTTTACTTCATAGGCAACTACAGTTTGGAAGCCACTAAGGCGGCAGTCCATCTAAAAATGTACCATCGTCACCGCCTTTTTGCGTTTGTTTTTGTTTGCCTAAACGTAACAACAACTTAACCACACGTTCGGTTCGTTAGCCCATGTATCTGTATCTGTATCGTATATATTTATTTGTGTATCTCTGTTCGGGTGCTCGTGTGCCCCATTGATAAGGCTAAAAACCCCACAAATCGTACAATTTCCGTTTCTTTCCGCCGTATTGTATATATAGAAATAAACACACATGTTTTCTGTTTTATAGGCTGCAGTCGATGCTTATCAACACGCCACGGAGAAAATTTCATTTTCAAAGCAAAACGAAACCAAAACTGGCGATGCAATATGGGCACGGGAAGCGTGCAAGTTATATGACAGCGATGCTCGTCTCGCTGATAAGGATTGCAGTCCAACGTCACTAACTATAAAAATGTGTTTTAAATAAACAATTAACTAAAAGAGTGTTGAAGTAAACAAATTTACTAAAATTATTATATGTATTTTAAAAAAATTTTAACATTTAAAGCTGAGAATGTCAAGAAATAAAGCTGAGATGCATTAATGCAACAGGTAGTGATCTTAATACAAATTCTCCTTATGAATATTTATAATATTTACTCCAAAATCAGTATGAAAACTAAATTATTAAAAAATGTTAAGCATTAGAAACTCCATGAGTTGTTTTTAATACAATTAAAATTCTTCTATATAGTCTTAAAGCACTTTAAAAAAAAAACCTGGTAGGTAAATTTTAAATAAAGTTTCTTTTGAGTTTTTCACGTTTCGAGTTTTCACTTTAAAACCAACTAGTTTAAACAATTTCACAGTGCCAATCAATTATAGAATAGTTCACATCACTCACGTGGCAGACCAATCATGTTGACAATCGAATACTAAATGCGTTGTCTAGACGAAAATAGTGATGCATTTATGATGAATGTTGCGAAAATAGCAGAAACGGTAAACAGAAAAACCCGCGGGAACAGGTAAGCGTTGAAAATGGCACAGGTAAACAACATTTGAACCGTTATCGGGAATCCGGGTTACAGGTAGGAAAATGTGCAGCGAAAATGAAAACAAAAACAAGGGCCAAAGCGTTTCGAGGGTGGCAAAATCAAAAACTTGGCTTGCTGACTCACGGCACGTAGGCCTCTCTCCCTCTCTGGGTCTCACCCCCTCTCTATCTATCACGCACCATCCGTCTCTTTCTATCACTCAAGCTCCATCTCTTTCTACCGCTCACTCCCCCTCTCTTTCTAGCCCCCTCCCTCGGGCTTTGTTGTGTGCATCTTGATGCGCAGATGTCCAAAAGACCCTGAGTTGAGCCCATTGAACCGCCTTTATTATTGGATGGACGACTCCTCCGGTATCATAATACGTTTTTACGTAGTATATGGCACAGTGCACAAAGAACAAGTATATCTCCTAAATTGGTCATTTAATTCGCACATGCTTCGAGGTCAAGAAACACCTTTGTATAACCGGCGTATTTTTAGCACACTTATTTAGATTGAAATGACATCTTTTTAAGACCTAAACTATAAATTAACCATCACAGACTGATGTATCTCGTAACATATGGTACGTTTTGGTTCAAACTGATAAGATTAATACTGTTTTGAAGGTAGCAAATTGATTAAACCAAATTGACGTTGAACCGGCTTTATTTTCGTGTATGACTAGGCGATATATTTATACAATTTCAAGCTTAGTCAACAACCTCTTGTTTTTTAAATGGTCATCAATAAAGATTATACTTTCGGCATTTTAAGGTGACGTTTTAAAATGACTTGAAGGTTCATATTTCTTTCGGTATTTAAATGGGGTCATTATATGGTTTGGATTATTGATATAGTATGTATTTTTAAAAATAACCTCACCTTCAAATACCAAGTTCCCCAACTTGAACTACCTTATTTTTTGTAATCTTTAGATTTTTGGGTCCTAACCAATTTTTTGCACCGAGTGTAAACGTGATGTTGATAAAGTGGGCAGCCGAAATACAATTGAAGCCAATGCCAAAGGCGCAATTTCTGGAAACGACCGATAGGGAAATGCCCTCCCACAAAACGTATTTATTTACGAATTATTTTAGCAAGCCAGCCGAAAGAGAGTGGGGGGGGGGGGGGGGGAGAAAGAGAGCGCAAAAAGACGGCGACTGACGTCAAGCGGGCCAAGTGCAAAGTAAAGAGACATGACATGAATGAAAGAGAGGGAGTGAGAGGGGGAGGAAGAAATGCGTTGGCAGCTTCTTTGTTTTCATCCGGAGTTTTTGCGGATTCTTTGTTGTCTCTCTCTTTCTCTCCCTCTCCGCTGCGCCAGAACAAGTGCAAGGCAAAAAAGAAAAAAACAAAACAAAGTCGGAAAAGCAGACAAAGTAAAGCCTTGAAATGGAATATGGGATGCGGATACGTGTACCAAACAATTACAAATCACTCCATAAAAAAATATATACATACACTTACAGCAACTACAGCCACAACAACAATGCGGCACAACGGGTTACCGTGTTATTGTTATGATTGCAAAAAGAGAGACGCAAAAAAACACGAATGGGGGAGCAAAGCAAAGGGAAACAACAAACAACTTACCACCCAGCAAATCTTCGCTTGATTTTGGTGTCGTAGACATTTTGTTTATTTATCGGTATGTGTGTTCAACACGTCAACACCCAAGATAACTTGATTATATTGCTTATTAACTCGGTTTTAAGTTAAACTTTTTTCTTGTTAATCGTCCGAGTTATTTTGGCCCTTCTGTTTGTGTCTGTGTGTGTATTCGCTTTTGCTGTTAATGTATGCGTAGGAAAATGCGTTTTACTTTTCGTTTGGCGCTGTTTCTCCGCCGTTGCGTTCGAATTGGGCTATAACTAAATTTCCGTGCTAAAGCAACTGCTGGAGCTCCGAAATATTGCAACTTTGTTTAATGCTGGCTACTACTTAAATTAAACACGATTCGTTCAATTAAAAACAAAACAGATTTAAATTCCAAACAGTGGCGAACCTGCTGTTCCGAATTTCCGAATTACGAATGAGTTGAAAAACGCTGAACGTTGAACAAAACGTAAGTGTCACAAACGTAAGGCAACGTAAGAGTGAAAAAGCGAGACAGCGTCAGCGTAAGTATTAGTGAAAAAGCGAGATGCAAGATGGAAGCTTAATGCGTAGTTTAAATCTTTTGTTGTTGCACTATCGAATATGGAATATCGAATGTTAACATGGTATTTATCGATGTTTTCACGCATCTGGCATCCCTGCAAGTATCGACTACGGCTATCGGTTATTTTTAAAAACTTTAATTTTATTGTAAATTATAAAATATATAATTCCTTTCCCTTAATTATAAAGCCTTGCATATTACTAATCATCTTTTATTTACTCATCTTGTTCTTAAAAACAAATCAAACGTTTCAAAATCACTTTTGGCCACATTTCGCACGAAATAAAAGTTATTGCCCTCCACTATAGTCTTCGGCGATATATACATATCCTTTTGAGGATCGTACTGAGCGCGGCCCAACAACTTGAGGAACTCATGGCGTTCCCGCAGACGAAATTCCCGCGATGCTAGAAGTTCAGGGCACTGGACAATCTGGGCATGCGAAAGGCCCATATCCTGGTGGATGTAGCTGAATCGCTCGACAATATCATCGGGAGCTAAAAGAATACAATTATTAAACTAAATATTCTTAGTTTTAAATATATATAATCTTACGAATCATCATTAAGCGGGGTTTTCGCACCACCAGGGCACTCAGCTCCTTGGCACTGAATCCCATTTCCTCCCTGAGGGTGAAAACGGACTTCCGCAGGTGCTCCATGTTGTAGGTAACGACATTTGGTTCCCTGGTGGCCAGAAGTCTGAGGTCATGGCCACTCAACCGGAATTCCTTTTGGAAGTAACCCAATCGGCGATCCACTCGCCGGGTGGAGAACATCAGCCAATAGGGATTGTGGGTAAGAATCCTTTGCCTGGCCTCATCCGAGAATCTCTTGCTCTTCAGGTAGTCCACTCTGGTCTGCAGATCATCCAGATCTTCTTTGAATAGCAGTGGGTTCTTGGTGAACATCCTGCCAAAGTCATCGGGCGAAATGCCCTGATCCACCAGGAAAGTTATAAAGGGTTTTACATTCTTCTCAAAGTCCAGCTGCAGCACAAACTGGCCCAATCCCTTCCGCCTCTCTATGCTGTGCAGATCTACTCCCAAACTGATGAATTGCTGTAGGGTACTGGACTTATTCACGTAGGCCGCCAAATTGAAGGAGGGCACATGGGCCTCCCGATTCCCAAAGTCTAAGGCCACTTCTTTAAAACTTTCCTGCGACGCCGGCTCACTTTCCTTGTCATTCTGTTGGGCTATTATATCCGGTGATCTGAACACCTCCACCTCGCTTTGGGCTTCTCTTTGACCCCGCAGATTCCGTAATTGTGGTGTAATTGCCGCGTATTTAGCCGCATTTTGTGAATTTTTTAGAATATTACGTATTGCTGAACAAAACATGCCGCCGGCGTTGCCAGATGTTGCAAACTTGAACAGCTGTTGGTTGCTAAAAGAGCCAGTATAGGATTCTAGCTATAAATAGCTAGATTTTAACTAAATAAAATTATATATTTTAAAAATGTAAAAAAAATGTATATATTTCCACAATATAAAACACCATTAGATCCGAAAGCACCTGTTGCACACTTGTTGCTCTTAAAAGGAAAGTTCTGAAGTTTTATAATAATTCAATTAAAAATAGTATCACGCATTTTTTGTTAGAGTTTAATGATTCTAAACAAATTGTTTTTAGTTCAAAATTAACATCAATATTTCCTTGGTATATTTTTCTGAGCCCTTCGGTATATTTTAACGGCCCGGCCACGGTCACGCTAGATCCGATCTTGGATTTATTAAAGTAAAAATTCTGGAGCATTAAACAGAGGAATTCTTTGTTTATCAATCTCCAGAGTCGAACCGGTAATCCTCAGCCTGCAACCTGTTGAACATACTTTAATCGCATCATCATGGACAAACTACGCCGCGTTCTGAGTGGAGATGAGCCGACTCCGGAAGAGGAGAGCAGTATCATTACACAGGTGAGGTTTCTAATAGGAGTGTTTCATTGAATATTAAGTTAATGTTCAAAATGGAAAGATTGTGTCCTCTGTTTTGGAGTTCCCCCCGGGAAACGCCCCCTGATCACATGGCGGCAACAGTTGTCTGACTCAACGCTTATCAGTGAATTTAGCTAATAATAATTTTGACCACCCAATTATCTACGCAGATTAACGAAATGTCCACCTTAAGTTGGTCCACACGCATCAAGGGATTCTGCATTTGCTTCGTCTTGGGCATTTTACTTTCCCTACTTGGTTCGGTTGCCCTATTTTTGCACAAGGGAATTGTGGTCTTTGCGGTCTTCTACACCCTAGGAAATATCATCTCGATGGCCAGGTAAGCGTGTCACTGGTTTAATTAATACTTCACATAGGCCGGCTAATAAGTGTCGCTTCTCGGGTTTCAGTACGTGCTTCCTGATGGGGCCCTTTAAGCAGATCAAGAAAATGTTCGCGGACACCAGGCTGATAGCCACCATTGTAGTTCTCGTGATGATGGTCCTGACGTTTATAGCGGCTATTGTGGTAAGGCATGCTTCTGATATTTTATCCATGTTTGTTTGAAGAGTTCACATAATTAGTTAGATTTCGATTTTAGAAATGGCAGTTCCTATCTTATAGTTGTTAAAACAAAAGTTTGTATCTAACGGATTTTATCTTATTGTTATGATATGTAGAAGAAACATTGAAACATTAATTCTTAGCAATATATATTTTGGTTACCTTTTTGAATTTTTGTTATCTAGTAAAATAGTTCTAACTGACCACTTTTGATACTTAAATTGTTCTTTAAAAACAAGACGTATTTCAAATTAATCAACAGACATTTTTAATTGAAATCGAAAAAATTATGAGACAGTCCATGTTCTGAGTTATTTTATTATTTATTTATTTTTATTTGACTGGCTTTGTTTTCGTTTTTAGTGGAAAAAGGCTGGACTCACGCTCATTTTCATTATCATACAATCGCTGGCCATGACCTGGTACTCGCTGTCGTACATCCCCTATGCCCGCGATGCGGTCAAAAAGACCGTCTCGGCATTCCTGGAGGTCTGAAATCAATCGCGCTTCTGTACATAACTCGAGAAAAGCTAGATTGGACTCTAACTTAAGCTAAGACAATTAAATCGCGTGTATTACTCTAGCACTAGAACATAGAAAGTCCTTTGTATTCTCTTATTAACAAGAATTTTCTTGGTTTGTCTTTTTAATAAATATATATATATACCTTTTATACATATATATATTTACATGTTATGTATTTAATTTAATCAGTACAGTTTGCTTTAGTGTATGTACATAATTCTCTTGTTTGTTTTGGTTTTTCTTTCATAGAATGGCCTGATCCACTTTGTTTCTGTAGCTTTCAAGTGTTTTTTTTGCTTATCAACTTCTTATTTTACTTTCTTCTCTTTTTGCGGCGATAATTTACCTAGAAAAGTGAAATGAAAAAGTTTTAGATCAAAAGATTCAGATATAAAAGTTAACAATAATTCTTTAGACTATTTTAATTTTAATATCGTAGTGCGGGGTGCTGGGTGCATCAATGGATTTACTCCTTGGCACTTGTGCTTTTTTTGTGGCAATGCAATCCGACGAGAAACGGAGAAAGATACAGAGAAAGGAGAGAAAGGCAAGGAGAATTCAGATTGAGAGCAGAGAGTTGAGAGAACGGCGTGATTGACCATTAATTGAGCCAATAATAACGTAAGTCAGTGAGTGCAAAAAAGAAAGTTAGTGATAGAGCAGGCAACATTGGAGGGACTGAAATTATCTTTCTATTGCTATGCCACATTAATATGATATATTTTGTAATCCGCAAATTAGATGAGTATAGACAACATTTAAATTATCAGTTGAGCTGACATTTCTTAGCTTCTCCCCTATTTAATGTTGCCTGCTGCTTTCAAATGGCCGTACATACCTTTAGAAGGCGAAGATGAGACGGCAGGACTGCTTTCTTTTCTTTTCGTCGGCGTCGAAGAAACCTTTTTTAGCTGCCGTTGCTGAAAAGCATACATATCCAATTTAGTATGTGAATTTCAAGTGGTTCAAGAATTATTTTAAGCGCTCACCTGCCAGTAAACTGCCAGGTAGACAAATGCCACCGAGATTATCACTTGGATAGTCAGCCACAGGACAATGTTGATGGCTTGCGTGCGCTCAAACAACTCCTTGCCATTCTTGATGCACAGAATGGCTTCGGAGACCATGATGGCGCCGTAAACCCAACACTGGGTGCCGACTCTCTTGCAGCGTGTGTCGGTGACATATACGTAGTATTGCCTAAAAGTCAGAGTTATCAATACTTTTAAACTTAACAATATTTAGATACCCAAACTTACCTAACCGAAGGCGCCACAAACAGTCCGATGAATATGAGGCGACCGACCACAATAAAGTGATCCGGCGGCATCTCGAAGATGTGCTTCAAGAAGAATGTGTTCAGCTCGGTGACCTGCCAGAAGATCACCAGCTGAATGACGGCGGCGAATCTCATCGCCGTGGACTTGGGATCCAGCCAGCGGATGGCTGACCAGCTCTCCGGCGTAAACTGCAGCATGGCTCGCTTGATTTTACCCGTGGTGCTGGATATGTCCTTGATACTGGCCCACTTGTACTCGCGCATCTCGAGGATCTGGCAGATCTTGAGACCCATCCAAATGCCCAGGCCGTTGCAGATGATGACATCTAGGATGAGAGCATCCCACCAGCACTCGATGAAGTTGGGCAGCAGATGAGCAAAGGTGATCTCGGTGATCTCCCACATGACGGAAATGGCCCACAGAATGCCCATGTGACGGATCAAGATGGCCTTGAAGGCCCATCCCAAAAAGTGACCCCAGGCAAAGACGTCCAGATGACCTTTTACGCGATCCCAACTGATGTCCGAGCAATTAACGCCATATTCCTGGGGAGTAAGAAAACTATGGTTGATATAAACAGTTCATCCACTGACAGACATTTCCTTACCTTTTCCATATCGATGTGGAAGTTCTTCAACTTCGGATCGATCCAGTAGAATATGCTCCTGATGGTCGGATAGTTTTGGAACATCATAAATTGTAACGCCAGCAGGTACAGCACGGAACATCCGAACAATATCCGCCAGAAGGCGGGATGGGGACGGGTGAAGGGTCCATTGGGAAATGCAATCACCGAGATGATCAGAAAGAAGAACACAATGCAGAGAAGGCCGGCCCAGAGATTTTCATCCACGTTCGCCTCGTTTCTGTAACGATAGAGCATTGCAATGTGGATGATCTTGGCTTCCATTGCCGCTACTATTTTAGTCATAGTATTCCTTATCAGCATAGCACGTTTTTCGACGGGGTTTTGGGGGTCAATGGCACGTTGAACTGAACGTTGAGTATGTTACGTACATATATTAAGTGTTTTAGTCGATTAGACTTTTATATAGTGTAGGCTAGAATAGCGCATATATATATATATTTGTATTCTTTTCGGTTTTTTGAACCTTCGGCTGTCTAGTTGACACATTTGGCAGGGTATACATGATATTTTTAAGTACTTAACCCGCTGTACAACAACTAATCTAAGTGCTAAGCCACGTGGGGCAGATTTTTGATTACAAAATATGATTTGCTCCCAGGCTTTATCAAAGATTAGAAAAAATACCCAAATGATAGCACATATATCTCCAAAAATTATTTTTGACATTGACATATCTCTAGATACAACCGATAATGCAATCGAAACCAAATAGGATTACAAATTATTTTTTTTTACCTTATAAAAGAATTCTTTTTATATGTTAATATTTTTTGAATCATTTAATAGTAGTTCTGGAAATTAAATTTACAAAGATAGGCACCCCAGATAAGCACACTTTGGGTTAAGCAACAACTCTTAACGACTTTGAACTGCCGCCTCTCACCTGACAGAGTCAAAGTATCAAGATCAAAACCAATATAAGATTATTAAATGTTTGTAAATAAAAGGGACTTTCATATGGATTTAGGATTCTTTTAGGATATGGATTTGCATGTTAATTGAGAGGTTACATTATTCCTTTTACCTGGCGAATGCAAGTTATACACTTTAATGAAAAATCAAGTGATGCAATAAATAACCCATTTGATGCAAACTAAAAGTTAATGATGAAAATGGGGGGTTCCTTTGGGCTACTCCCGAGTTTCAGACCACCTTCTCACCTGACGAATGCGAAGTACATGACGGCGAGGACGGAAACAGCCAGCAGGGTGATGGTGTGTGGCTTGTAGAAGAAGTCCAGCGATATGTCGTCCACAGGACGTTCGTTGACGATCACAAAGGTCTGGGCGATCTCCTCCTTCCGTTTCCTCCTGGCGCCCGCACTGCTGCCACTGCCGTCGCTTCCGTCCCGCCGCTTGGTGGGCGTGGCCGGGGCGCTGGCCGCCCCCGTCTTGAAGGCGGGATGATCCCCATCGGCGTCGCCGGCGGAGGAGGAGGCGGCGGGCAGCACCACATCGCCCGACGAGGTCGGGGTGCCACGTGAATTGGAGCGCTTCTTCATCGCCTGGACAAATTCGATTATCAGATGTAAGCGGATGGCGTGATGTGGTTGTTGTTAGGTGGTTGGTGGTTCGGAATCGGATTCGGAATCGGTTCGGTGGCTAAGTACATGCGGGGACAGAAGGTTGCGCAACATTCGATTCGATTCGACTATTCCAAGCCCCCCACTTTTTGGGTTCCTCGCTGCGGTTGCTGGGGCGCCCGGTTCGGTTGCTCTCGGTGGCTATCGCGTGGCTGCGGCTCCTGGATCCTCGATTCAGGTTCGATCGGCGCACGTTTGTTTTATCATTCGCCAGCTACCGTCCGTTGTTGTTAATTAACATGCTGCGCGCGACTTGGACCAATAAAAATCGACACTTGCCGGCGGTGGCGTTGCCGGACGGGCTGAGTTCTCGACTTGATAACACGGGCGTTGCCAGATGGTAAACTAAACGTAGAGGGTGTTCCTGTTAACATTCAAATTATTTATTTAATCATATTTAATATTGTAACCTGAGTTTAAATACCTAGTTTAATTATCCGAAAATTACAAGAAAAGATTTTGTAACCTCAAGGAAGACTATTTTAGACCGAAGACTATTTAACCGAATAATTTAATTTCTGTGAAATGTTGAAGAATTATTAAATAGCAGGAACACCCTAAACGTAATTAATGCATCCCTGAAACAGCTGATTGGACTTGTTGACCGAAAAGCAATGCACGATTTCGACCTAATTTCCTAATTCTCTTCTGTAAAACCGCGTGAAAATGCTGGAAAAGGTTAAAAATGTTATCGTAGTGCTCTCCGGGAAAGGTGGAGTTGGTAAATCCACAGTGAGCACCCAACTGTCGCTGGCACTGCGAAAGAATGGATTCAAAGTAAGCCAAACAATTTCACCACAAAAACATGACTCGGGATTTATTGAAAACATCTTTTTTATTGCCAGGTTGGCTTGCTCGATATAGATCTGTGTGGACCCAGTGTGCCATATCTTTTGGGCTTGGAGGGACGTGATATATTCCAGTGCAGCGAGGGATGGGTTCCCATCTATACGGATGAATCCCAAACCCTGGCCGTGATGTCTATTGGTTTCCTTTTGAAGAACCGTGAGGACCCGGTCATTTGGCGCGGACCCAAAAAGACCATGATGATCCGACAATTCCTCACCGATGTGAGGTGGGATGAGTTGGATTACCTAATCATCGACACACCGCCCGGCACTTCGGATGAGCACATTACCGTGATGGAGTGCCTGAAGGAGGTGGGATGTCATGGAGCCATTATAGTGACCACTCCGCAGGAGGTGGCCTTGGATGACGTGCGCAAAGAGATCACCTTCTGCAAGAAAACCGGCATCAAGATCATGGGCATCGTCGAGAATATGAGTGGGTAAGTCAATTCTATAAGATATGCTGTAAAATGGGGTAGTTTTCATCACGAAGTGGAACTAGGGATTCCATAAGGTTTTCTGAATTATTCAATATAATATATAGTAATTCCTTAGAAAGAGAACCAAATAAGGGACAAAAGTACCTTTGTCACGATGTCTAAGCTTCGCAAGTGTTCCTTAAATTTATTAGGTTAAACGAATTTAAGAATCAGGTTTCATCTTTATTATAATAGCACATCACAAGATATAGTAGTTCATAAAAAAGAGAACAAAAGATACCACAGCACTGGATATAAATTTATTGAAAATGCAAATATGCATATTAATTGGACGGCTGCGTGTCAAGTTGACGTCGTGTTGTCACCTGTGGACTTTAACCAGGTGATAATTTATCTGATGTTTGACTAAATTATCTCTTATTTGATTTCTCCAGGTTCGTGTGCCCCCATTGCACTTCATGTACCAATATTTTCTCCTCAAACGGCGGCGCTGCTTTGGCCGCGCACACCGAAGTACCACATCTCGGGACCCTGCCCATAGATCCACGAGTGGGCGTTTTGGCGGGCAGCACTGTATCCGTATTGGACGAGCTACCGGATTCTACGACGGCGGTGGTGTTCACTAATCTAGTTGAAAAATTGAAATCGCTTTCGGTCACCTAAATACAATAAAATAGATTTTACGGAAGATGTTTACTAAACTAGCTGGAGGAATTTAAACATCAGGAAAATAACCGATTCTGTAATCAGGTACAGAAAACCTGGCTCAATTTTTACATGAACTTTGTGTTATAATGTGGCCCAAACTATACTTTTTGGGATGAGTGGATTCGGGATTCCGACGTCTTCCAAACCTAACATATTTTTCTTCAACTCCCATTGGCAAGTTATTAAAACACATTTTTTGTTTTCGTTTAGCTTTGGCTTCTTTCTCTTTATTTTTCATGCTTTTTGTGTCGTAAATTTAATAATAAAATGGTTATAAAGGAATGAATGTACATAGTTGATGCGTTTGAGGGAACCAACTAGGTATGTACGTATAATAATTTAGTATTGAATGAGTGCGCGAGTTTTTTTTTATATATAATAACTCTAATGTTACAATTCTGGTTGTACGGTAACTAAAATGTACAATCAAACTAAAAAGTTTCCTACTAATACTTTCCAATTACAATTACTTCTGTATTACCTAACAGATTTTCTCGCTTTTGCTATTTAAAACTATCACATTAACGTATGGTGTCTTAGTGCTTAAATAGATCGCTACTTATTGATTTGAGCATAGTCTTAAGATCGAGTTGTGTGCTTATGCAAGAGGTTGATCCAACGGCTTGGCTGCTTTCAATGTCTGTAGATTGTCCTTAAATTCTGCGAAATTAGTTTAAAATGCTCTTCTGACTGACGACGAAGTTTGTTTTTTTTGCCTAAGTAGTATTAACATGCAGACTTCTTCCACTATTTTGGTATAATTTCCTCTAGTCGAAGCTAGATGAAAGATTTTTAAGATCAAAAATCAGTCTGCGGGAGGATGTAAATCACACAGAGAAAAATATCTTTTCATTTTAAAATAGTTTCCACTTGTGACATGCCACCAATATATCTTAAAATGAAATGATAAACTGAGATGGCAACCTATGAGTTTGTCTGTGCTGGAATCACAACTAGTCCTTCGTTTTCTTTTGTATCCTTACATCTCACGTTCACATAAGAGCTCAATTCTCTCCCTGGGATGATATCATATTTCTTGGTCGAGTAATATCTTTTATATATCCAGTAAGTTATAATTAAAGCCACCAGTACGCCAACTACGCCAACTACAGCGCCTCCAAAAATCCAGGTGTAATCATGTTTTATTTGCTCCTGAGGCACATCAACATAGTTGTGGTGCGATTTTATACGAAGGACCTCTGTATCGTTGGGATCCTTAACTTGACTGGTGGATTCAGGCGCCAAAGCTTCGGGCTGATTGGTTATGGGACTATCGGTCATCACAGAGAAATTAATTTTAGCCGTCTCTGTGGATATATCAATTTTCCCATCCGTAGTTTTGTCAGCACCTAAGTCGATTTTGGTAATACCATCATTTGTATAAGTTTCAAGCGAAGTGCTTGAACCTTTGGAAGTTTCAAGATCGTCGGTTGTGGTTGGATTTGTTGTAGTCTCTGTTGGAAAATCGGAGCTAGAAGTTTCTTCTTCTTCTGGGTGTTTGAGATCCGGCGATTCGGAAGAGAACATAACTCCAAGGGATTCAAAACTGGATTCTGTATTTATAACACCGGTACTGGTTGATTCACTTGTGATCGGAGTGGGTGTGTACATTTCCGTTGTTGTAGTGGAGTTATTGGCTACGCTGGACGATTCGCTTGCATCCGAAACGATAGTAGAACTTTCTGTTGGTATAGTTGAGCTATTTACCGAACTGGAGGATTCGACTTCATCCGAAATCGGAGTAGAAATTTCAGGTGACGTCGTAGAGTTCATATATTTAATAGTTATTTCCTCAGTGCTACCATCATCTCCTATAACTTCGGAACCTTGGGTTGTCCCATCAAATGGTAAATGACCATAATATGAACCATCTTCATCGAGTTCTTCCGGGCAAACTAAACAGCATATTCCCTTGATCGCAATGGGATTACTGCATGGATATTCATGATTGCATTGAATAGTTTTACGGGATACAAATCCACCTAGACAAGTGGCAGTTGTGCAACCATTATCTTCTTCCCAGACATTATCAAGTTCCTTGTACTCATTTTTATCCGTTAAACAAATGGGTATTTCTTCTTCGAGTTCACACATTTCTTTGCATTGAACGGCTTGTGGTTCGCAGGGATCGCATACGGTGCACTTGTTCTTATAGAATCTCATTTTTGAATCATCGCAGACAGGCTCTTCATCGCGGCATTCGTAGCGAGGACAACAGCTACCGGGAAGTCCATTTCCCCTTTCCACCTCGACGATAACATTGCCGCAAATGGGAAAATCGTTCAGACAAGGGGGGCACATCTCCTCTGGGTAGCTATCTGGATCAATAATTGGCAGAGCTAAAAATATGAAAAAGAGACATTATATTAGAATGTTATTCAATACAAATTTTTAAATTTTGTAATCTTCAAACATGATATAACAACTTTTTTTTAATTTTTTTAAATACGTCTTGATCCATAAATTTAATGCGTCACAACCAAGGCGTCATATAAAAAAGTGTAAATATGATTAAGCAGCCTCAAAAGCAAGAAGGTTCCACACAGAACAGAAATTCGATACCCAAAAAATTGCGATCTGATTTGAATGCCCTTCAAGTTCAATATTAACATATCGATCCATCTTGAAAATCACATTCCCCCGCAATCACCACAGCCCGCCAACCTTGTAGCCATGAATTATTCAATAAATCTAGAGGTAAATTTATAAAAATGGCAATTTGATTAGGCACACACTTAGGAAATTTCTTCAAGAAAGCAGAAACCCAATCAAAACAAACGGAATGATATTTGTTTTTGGTGGAATACAAAGTACGGGAGTGACACTCTCGTTTATCATTTATTTATTGTTATTGATTTTTGACATTTTATCATTGAATTATGTATAAAAGGGGGAAGAAGACGCCAGAGCGATAAAAATGGGAATGGCAAAGTATAGAAGAGCAACAAAAGATATACAAGTGCACTGCCAAACAAACACGAAAGATTTGAAGACCTCCCTTATTGGATCGGTATGGATCGATCGTTTCATTGAATCAATATTGCCCCAATTGCGGGTATTATTAATTTGGTGTGGTAAAGTTCTGTTACAAAAATGCGTCGCATCAAAACTTGTTACAAACTCTTCCCGATCGTGATCGAAGGTTATCAATTATTTTCGATATTGACGTCACTGTCGCAGACTTTGTAGGTGAAGCGCATTTAATTGAACGTAATTTAAAATAGATATAAGTTGTTGCTTTCGTTGTTGTGGCTTTATTCTTCGGCTATCAGGTCGGAGCGATCTATATGACAGCAAGCAGACGGGGCAATTATTCATGTGTGTGGTTATGTGTGCGTGACCGTACTCGTTTGATTGAGAAGCGCATAGAAGGGCGCTGAGAATGTCAGGGAACAGTGCGTGTTGGGATCAATAGAATTTTTCGGAACACCTTGAAATTCCAACTTGTTTGTTTGTTTTCTATTTATAAGCGATCTGAAATGTCGACAGAATTGACAAACTTTAAATGTAATATATGTGGATAGGATATAAACTGATGAAATTTTTCTTAGAATTTAAATTCCGCCTTTTCCCGATCTTAATGCCAAACAATTTCTTGGATTTTCCTCAATAAAAATATCTCAACAACACAGCAAAATATTCATTCTTAATCTAGCTTCTGTTGAAAATTGTTTCCTAAATATATGTATTTAAGTGCTTAGGTAGACAATAAATTGGCCATGAGCAAGGTATATTGCTTTCTTCGCTTTGGGTATTCATTTATTTGCTATAATATATTATATTTTTGTGGCTTTGCACTGCGGGTTTATTGACCCGAATGGATAGTGGTAATTTTTTTATCGCCTTTGGGTCAGCAAAAAATAAAAGAAAACGGGAATGAGAAAGAGACATGAGACGGCGGGGCGTTGGAGAAGGTTTCCAGGTTCCAAAGGTTACAATAATTCGATGCAAATTACCTAAGCACATATCCGCCTCAGAAATGGGTCGGGGCTCATTAGCGGAGATCTCTGGGGACGTCGATGATCATTACGGTTGCGATTATGATGATGATGATTGTATAGGGGAGCACCAGCAGAAGTGCTACTGGCCACTTACGTCACCGGTCTGGCCACAGATACAGTGAAAACGCAGAGATACACAGATGTGGAGATACGGATACTTTGAAGCTGCGAACGAGGCGATCCATATTTCTTTTTGATTGATCTACAGCCGAAGGCCGGCATGCAAAAATGCAATTCAGGCAGCGAGGAGCAGAAAAGCTGAGGAGCAGCAGCTCACAAAAACCAGATACAGATACGGCGAAATAAATTCCAGTACAATTAGCAGTCGCTTATTTTTGTTTCAAATTTTTGTTTGTCCATTTTTGTTTTTTTGTTTTTCCTGACACGCTTGTCGTTGACATGCAAAGTTACTTAAACCAAACAAAACGAACATTACACGACAAAATACTAAAAACTAAAAAAAAAATCAAGGGGAGGAGGTCGACGTTTACTTTAAACTACTATCTAAAAGGTCGTCGTTTTCCGGGGGGTACGAGGGGCCCCAAGATGTTAGCCGTTACAAGCGACCAAAAGACCAGCCAAATAGTTGATGGAGTAATTAGAGAACGTTCAAGTTCGCTTAGAGCCAGAAACAAAACGAGAAACTATTTAGTTTTGCCATTTTGACGGTTTTTTCTATTCTACCCATTCACGTCAATCACCGTGAACATTGAAAAAGTGTCTCTTTGATAATTTGCTGATGGCGAATCTAATTTTCTGTCGGGAATTATCATATATTCGTACGTTTTATGACATTTTAAGCGAACTTTTGGTCATTAAGGCAGCCATAAAACGGTGACTTTAGTAACCCGAAAACCAGGAAGACGGCAATTCGTTAAACTGTGATTTACTAGCCATGAATCACAGTGACGAACGGGGATGAGTCATGGGAAAGTGGATGGATAGACTTTCACTGTTTCCAGGAAAATATGAAATGGACCAACTTCCATGGTACTAATAACATTTTATGAATGGGTTTTATGTAAAAAGGTTTCTTAGAATATGTAAAACTACATCGTAAAATGTTTGTAAGCTGTTTAAATATTCAGCAACCCACAAAAGGCACTGAATAAATAATAATTTGAATAACTGAAAGGGCACCACTCAATCAAATTTAATTCATTAAAGAAAAAAGGCCTATCGCAGAATCACCCAACCATGTATGATTAATTAAATAAAAAGTCCCATTTAAAAACTGCTAATACCCGTGTTAATTATTTTATTAACTGAACTGTATTTTAAGCACTCCCATTGACCATTGTGATCGTAAACAAAAGCTTTCAAAATTAAAATAAACTATGACATATGTGATTTAATCACACCCGAATTAAACGCCAATATAATCCATGCATAGCATGGGGAAAAATGTGACATCAGACCTGCGGTAATCAGTACTATATTTTTGTGAAATTGTTTCGTTCTAACAGTACAAAAAGCAATCAATCTTTTTTGCCAACGTCTCTCGCACGTCCTAAGAAAGCGTAATTTATGCGATTTAATTTAATCGCCAGCATGTAGAGCAAATAATCGTTCGTCACTCCAGATTTGGTTGCTTTCCGCATAGCTACCAATTAAGAGAGTTTTACGATTGTTCAGTTCACTTCACGGTTAGCATTACCATTAGCCGGCCCCCATTAACGTTCTTTTCTTCTTGCCCTCTGCTAATATTTCCACCTTTTGATATCCCTCTGAGTAACCCCCGAAAACCCCAGACCCCCACTGTTTATAAAGTGGCCAACTAATTCGTTAGAATTGCGTAAACAAAACATTTTCGTACGCTCAACGCTTTCTATTTTTTACTTTTTGGCCCCGTTTAAGCCAGCGGCGACAGGAGTATTAAACCTTATCTTAATTATAGATCAATTATGGTAGTGGAGGCTACCATACACACTGGGCAAATATATTCCACCGCACATCATTAATTATAAGTGCAAACTGAAGTCAGCCATATGGGAAAGGTAAGCGTGCAAATGGAACAGAAGTTAACTAATGCGTGTCGCAACTCCACTCTTTCAGACAAGTTAAGGGTTATTAATAAATTAGTCTGGAAGGTTGTGGTTAAAAATAAATGTTTAAATGTGTATATTCTATAAAAAATGGGATCTGTGTTTTTATAGACATTATACCAAACCAATTTATGACCAATTAAGGCAACTCAAAATAAACAAGAAACAATTGCAGTATAAACAGAAATTATTCAATATATCAGCCTTGTTTTTATTGAAACCACGTTAGCCAAATGTCAAAAATTGAATTTACTAAATGTATAAATTTTCTAAAATAATAAAAATCCCATATCTACATATATTCGAAACACAAAAATGGGCACCTGCCATGAATTTTGATGGGGGTATGGATGTCCCCCGGTGATTAGTTCGCATTATATTGTACAAATTGCACAATTACAATTAAATTATACGGCACAGCGTAAAATGTCTGATTAATGACAACCACCCCCCAATTCCGATCCCCTTGTCAACCCACAAAAAAATATGGGAAACGAGAGCAGGCAAACAGATGTGCGGCGATATTCAATTTATATGTTTGGTATACAAAATAATAATAATTATTTTTTAATAATTACTGCACTGGGGCCGCAATCTGTTGTTTCTCGATGGTCATTGTTAGTACGATGAGTGACGCCTTTCTGCTGGGATTACTAGGCTGCCTCATATTGCCGGTTCTGTGGCAGCCATCGTTGGCAACCGTATGTAACTTGTGATTTATAATAACAAATTCCAAACACCACAAAGAAAGTTAGTAAAATGTTCAAAATAATATTTAAAACTCAACAGAAAGGTATAGGTATTCATATTTTAGTCATTATTGTTCCAAAAGGAGTAGATTAAAATATTTAAAATAAGATACATGAAATGGTGATAGTAACTCTTCAAAATGGAACTAAATTGTAAATATCTGCAAAGATATTTATATTTAAATTAAATTATTTTTACGCACCATGCCAAAAAAGAAATATCTACCTTTTTTCATAAAATATACCAACCTAATAAGCCATTTCCTAGAAATACAGATCTCAAAGAACCGATCCACTTAAAATTCAAAAATATGCCAACAAAAAAAATGAGATGCAGTTTTGTTTTCCCTCGCCAAAAGTAGCCATCGTGACTAAGAATATAGGTTTATAAACTCAGCATATGATGCGCATTTGTTTAATGGGCTCACCCACTTGTAGCGCGATTTCGAGATACGTTGGCGGGACATCAACTGTTCGGTCGTTGATCCCACGACAGCTGAGGTCTTCAAGTGCGACATTGTGGAAATGCCCAAGAAGCAGGGCAATTTCCTAAACACCTTGCTGCTGCTCCGGCGACCCATCCACAAATTGTGGGTGGAACTGAGTGTGGGACAGATTGCCAAAAGAAAGGATCGCTTTGTTCAGCAGCTCCTCAAAATTCGAGTGGATGGCTGTAACCTTATCGGATTTCAAAGCAAGAATCGCATTTTGAATGCGGTGCTCAAAAAGCTAATTCAATCGGGAAACTACCCAGATTCCTGCCCTCTATTGGCGGTAAGTTTTGATCTAAGGTTCCACAGAAATCATTTTACATTGATGCACTTAAGAAACTTGCTTTAAATGGGCGCTCGTATACTTGTGTCTATCGTACTTTTCAATTCAAATCACGTTGCGATGCAATATGCAAATTAATGATAGATAACATAAAAACTATTTTCGGGCCTTGCATTTCTAAGAAACTTTGGGCGTGACAATAATATTTAGCAAGCAAAAACTGGATTTCCTTTCCCTATTAAATAATACGTTTACCGCAGGTATTAGTACTGAATTTAACCTTTTAGGGCATCATCCACACTCATATAACAAGAAAAAACTACAACAAAATACTTGTATTATTGATATATGATTTATTTTGGGAACAAGAGTATTTTAGGTTTTACATATACCACACCTTCAAATTTATTACGTTGTTAAATTTGATTTGCCTTCAGAATTTTATAAAAACGCACCTTATATGAATAACTATAATACATTTTCAAATATTTGAATCGACTTTTATGGCTAATGGAATCTTTATTCCGCACTTAAGGCATCCGATACAAGCGAACACCTGATTAAACATTGAACCATTTCTGACCTACTCAAAGTCAAAATCTGATGAATATTTTCCGTAATCTTTATCTTTACGAGCTGAGCGTAAATAGAGCAACAAATTAGTCAAATGTTCTCGCAAATAAACAGAGCTATCTATATCTGTACGATTGTTCAGAAATACACCGCTATCGTTAAAAAACGGAAAATAAACAAATACGAATAAACAAGTGAAATGCGCATTAACCGAAAAAAGCAGAATCGTTTCGCCGAAACGAAAGTTTGAATGAAACCCAAATCGAAATGGGCATATATCATTTTCATTCGCCTAATTTTTCGTATTTCTATCCGCAGAATGTCAACTATACGTCCACTCGTTTTGCTCTCAATCCGGATCATTTTCCGACCTACATGCCGGACATGAAGTTCAATACGAAACTGGTCTTTCAGCTGGCCAGGAATATTAGTTTGATCCGAGCAAGTGTGGATGCCGAGGTGATGAGACGGTCGTAAAGAGAAATATTTCAATAAAGCACACGGAAAAGTACATAAAACATGGGCAAATAATTCGATATATTTATGCGGTTCCATGACTAAGTCGGTGGCAGTGACTAATAGCTTTGGCATGGGATTTGCACCGCTGTTCACATTTAGATTAGACGGCTATCTGGAGCATTCGGTAAATGCCTTGTGGATTTCCTATGAATATCTATTTTTATCATCGAACCCTGAGATACTGCTAAACTCGTAGCCCCGAAAACAATTTCACTGCCATGACTTTCAAATTTCGTTTTGCTCCACATTTATGATTCATGGCTGAGGAATTTGGCATCAAACTGGCTGACTGATTTCTGCACTTCACTGTTAATTAGCCATAAATATGGGATTTGGCTTGTACCAGAAATCAGATTAAAGGAAACAAATGGTCTTAAACTAAATAGTAGGGGATTAACTGATTTCTGCACTTAATGTTAATTAAATAAAATACCTATTGCCAGCAACAATAATTTAAAAGCTTTGGGTTGTAGCAGAGATCTGATTAAACGAAAAAATTAATTAATTGGCGAACTGGTTTTCCGACTTCTGCATGTCGTTAATCACTAATAAGTATTATAAACTGGCAGCAGCAATAATATAAAACCAATTTAGTATATTCGTTAATCACTAATAAGTATTATAAGCTGGCAGCAGCAATATTATAGTTCCAATTTAGTAGTTATATAATTTATAAGACTATAATAAATTTTTATAAATATGTAAAGAATTTCATTGACAAATAAGATTAAACAGTATCTTCTCGTCTGTACCCCAACTCTTTTATATATTATAAACAGACTAATTTGTTGATAATGCGAGTGCAGAAAAATAATAGATTAAGAAAGCTCAGGCCCCTTTTCGAGTGTCGGCCAATCAAATTAAGAAATGACGTGAGTCTGCCCAGTAAAGATATTTAGCAGAGAATAAATAGAACAGCGTTTATCAAGAGGGCCCCCAAACAAACAAAAATTTAGAGCGCCTTTCTCTCAAACAGACTGCAATGTCATGGTCACAGAATCTTTCTTTCTTTCGAGAATTGCCCCTGATAAATTCCTTCTCGCACCGCGAAAAGTCAAGTGAGCAAAATCTATTTATCATTTATTGACGTCTGGATTCGTCATCAATATTTCTGCCTTGGCAAAGAAACTCTAGCCAAATGTATATTGACTTAGGCTGAAGGAAAACCTTTGTCAAGGCCAGCCACAAAATAAAAAGGAAAGTGTTTCCGGCCAGCCATTTCCATTTCCATACCCATACCCATATTCGCATTTGCATTTGCCACAACAAAGTCTGGAATGGTGGGAGTACGGTGACATAACCCCAAACCAGTAAAGTCGGGGAATTCTAGGCCAAAATGTTCTAGCCACCCTTAGTAACTGGTTGGGGGAATATAGCTCTAAATAGCTCACTTAGTGGGTTAGTCAGCCAGGGGTTAGTGGGTTAGTCAGGAGGGGTTGGATGGAAGGAAACTGCACTTGGAATAAATTTTTCTATGGAAACGCCGCTTATGAACTAGAAACCTATTCTTAAACATACTAAGAATTTTTAATAATTTTTTTTAACGCATTTTTTCTGAGGTTAATTTACAGAAAACAAGTTTATTGAACCAATTCCTAAAATTCTTATTCCAAGAAAACATTTTTTATCTAGTAAATTAGTTCAAAATTCTATTTCCAATGAAAGATAATTTAGTTATTTCTTCAATTATTTCTGTTTACAATATACGGTTCGAAAAAAGATAGGCGTATAACATAATATTTACCACAAAAGTTTGGCTAACTATAGTTTTCCTATTCCTAGTTTATTGATTCACCAATTTGAAGACGTAAAATAAGCAATAACATTTGATTTTCACCACAAATACTTATAATATTCTCCAAAGTGCACTCAGACTTTTAGGGAAAATTGCTGGCACGAAAGGCGGATTACAATTTCATCGGGTAATGGAAAAATATTCAAGGCGCTGGCCAAACTAAGAGAGTTGTTTTTCTTTATCGCCCCGTGGAAAACGGCTAAAACCTGGTGGCAATACGCCTTCGTTCTGGCCGTTCTAAGTTCACTTATCGTATTCATCTGGATGGAATTCGTTGGGCAAACACGGCAACCACAAACCGCCAGTTGGACTCTATATGTCTGGGTGCTTATAAACTATATATACGTAACAAACACGCTCTACAACAGACTATCTGTCGTTTGTCACCCATTCGCACCAGTTTGATAAGACCGCCGCAGATTAAGATGGAATTCCAAATAAAAGTGTGCGTTGCCACTCCTGGGCTTTCTATAAAAAATCAAGACTCCGCTGCACACTCAAGGTTAAGTTCATTAGGTTTCTCTAGATTAACACATGTTTCCCCCGATATCTGTGTATGGTGAGTTGTGCTGTGGATCGAGGGAATACTTTATATCGGGTGAATAAGTGGGAAAAATGCAACCGATCTAGCATTACTCACAAAGTCAATAGTAAATAGGGGAAATAGTGCGACTTTGCTTCCAATTATGTTTCCTTGCTCGTGCGATAGTGCTATCAGTTCTGCGTTTTGCAGATTTCTATTTGCAAAAATAATCTAACCATGTCCATTTTTACTATTGATATTTATATAGTTTATACTAATCATTGTGCACTTGTAAATTAATTGGCTGACTAGTATAGGTTTGTTGAAGAAAGGTGTTTGGAATTGAAATTCCCAAATTATTTGAGAGATAAGCGGACTTTGAGACTATATGTATAGTATAATTCTTAAAGAATTGTTTAGATAATGACCCAAAATCTTGCTTTAAAAACTTTCCCATTTCGGACTTCCCTCACAATATTTTTCGTGACGCACTTCAGGTAAAAATTGTTTAAACAAAAGCTCGCCCATGCCCTTCGATGGCCACTATCAAGGTCATTTCGGTTCATAGAAAAACATACGCTCGCGAAAACCAAACAAAAACGAGTGGAATAAAAATAAACAATATTTTGTAAAATGCCCCAAAAACACGAAATAAATAAAAAAACAAAATAAAAACGAAAATACAACCGAATTTACACACACTCAGATGCCATTTGAATTATCAATGAAATTCAGCAACAAAACAAAAAAGAACAAAAGCAGAAACCCCAAAATTTGTGCGGCAACATGTGTTTTTTGGGCGAAAACAAAAAAATAATCAAAACAAAAAGTCGGTATGCAAAGAGCGAAGAAGAAGGGGAGATCCGCATGGCATATGGCCAAAATCGACTCTATAGATAGTTCCGACACGTCATGAAAGAGAGATCCCATATATATATAGCCATATGATGCCGCTGCCGTGACGTAGGCTTTCGGCTTCTGGTTTTCCTTAATGGAAAGTATCTCAATAGAGTAAACAGAAATCGAAACATCCGATTATCCGTGGCAGTGAATCACTTCATTAATGAACTAATTTCGGCGCTCTTAACTCACCCAATGCCTTGAGGTTCCACAAAAAGCAGCAAAGTATGATTAACTTGGCCATTTCACGTGAGTAAGTCGATCAAAGTCCAAAAATTGAATAAGTATATATACAATCCGTGTATATATCTCTAATTTATTGTGAAATTGTTGAGAAAAGTGGTTCCTTCTTTTAGTTTGCTTGCACTGCACTGAATCTCTGGAAAGGCAAGAAAATAAATAATAAGAAATTAGTAATATTCTTTTATTTACATCCATATTTTTATTGGTTAAATTGTTTAATATTAATTTCACAATTCCTCTAAAGTTCCTATATATTTGTACACCTTTTAACAGCTCGATGGTTGGATAGCAACTGCATACGATCACGTCTCGGTGCCCGTTTTTATATTTTTACTGCCTGGAAACGCATCTATTTATGTTATCTTACTTCCATATATGAAGAATTCCACTGCTCTTGTTATTTTTTTTACCGAATCTTATTTGTCTTTTATTTTATCTTCAATAATATGTATTATTGAATACTGAAATCTAGAATTTAAAAATATTTTACTGGGGAAATATTCAATACAAGTTTCCCCCAAAAAGATTTCTATATACAACAAGGAAGAACGCTATAGTCGAGTACCTCGACTATCAGATACCCGTTACTCAGCTAAATGGAGATATGCAAGCAGCAAAGCGAGATTAAAATGCGCCACCTACCGGCGGTATACAGATTTAAGCGTTATGGGCGTTAGAGTGGGCGTGGCAAATTTTTTTTTGGATCAATCGATAGGTATCGACGAGACCAATACATTTCAGTTACAATTTTTTATCTAGCATGAAAATTGTGGGCGTCACAGGTTTTTGCGGTTTGTGGGCGTTAAAGTGGGCGTGGCAAACTTTTTTTTGAGTCAATCGATAGGTAATGACGAGACGAATACATTTCAGTTAAAATTTTTTATCTAGCATAAAAATTGTGGGCGTCACAGGTTTTCGCGGTTTGTGGGCGTTAAAGTGGGCGTGGCTAACTTTTTTTTAAGTCAATCGATAGGTATTGATGAGAACATTACATTTCAGTTAAAATTTTTATTCTAGCATCAAAACTGTAGGAGCCACAGTTTTGGGCGGTTTGTGGGCGTTAGAGTGGGCGTGGCACTCTACTGAAACAAACTTGCGCTGCGCAGGAATCTCAGGAATCTGCGTGCCTAATCCCAGTATTGTAACTCTCATAGTTTCCGAGATCTCAGCGTTCATACGGACAGACGGACAGACGGACAGACGGACAGACGGACAGACGGACAGACGGACAGACGGACAGACGGACAGACGGACAGACGGACATGGCTAGATCGACTCGGCTAGTGATCCTGATCAAGAATATATATACTTTATGGGGTCGGAAACGCTTCCTTCTGCCTGTTACATACTTTCCGACGAATCTAGTATACCCTTTTACTCTACGAGTAACGGGTATAAAAATATTTTTTATGGGTAAACTTTACTAGTAAGGATAGCTAAGTAATTATAAAAAGGTTAAAATCGTGTATTTTATTGATTTATTGTGTACAATTGAATACTTGTTGTTGGAAGAGAAACTACTTCGTTGGCCAAACTGACAATGCGATACCTTGGGTCTTTTAAGGTCTTTTAACTATTGTA